GTAGTAGTAGTAGTAGTACTAGTAGTAGTAGTAGTAGTAGTCGTCGTAAGTAGTTAGTAGTAGTAGTAGTAGTAATAGTAATAGTACGGGTCTAGTAGTAATAGCAGTAGTAGTAGTAGTAGTACTACTACTACTACTAGTAGTAGTAGTAGTAGTCGTAGTAGTAGTAGTAGTAGTAGTAGTAGTAGTAGTGGTAGTAGTAGTAGTAGTAGTAGTAGTACTGGTAAGGGCGAGGAGCAGCAGGAGGAAGGGCCGCGTGCGGTCCAGATGCGGCCCTCACGCTGGGAGGGCTGATTTCAGTGTCGCCGCTCATGGCTCAGGCACCGAACCTCGCCGCCGTCCTCCTCCTCCCAAAGCAGCGAGCACCCAGGGGGGGTGGCAACCTTGCCCTCGATCACGTTGGGGTGCAGCGGCGGGCGGCGGCAATGGGATGCATCGGCAATGCGTCGGCGACGTCGGCGATGCATCGGCGACGTCGACGTGGAGACAATTGGGCTCCACATCGAGCCGCATCGTCGATATGGCGCGATCCTTCGACACCATCTACTCGGACCCAGTTTGAGGAGCCTAGGCTGCTACTCCTTGTTGTCGTCCTCCTCCAAATCGGCGGCGAGCAAGAAGGGAAGTGAGAAGGAGACGGCCCTCTCAGGAGGCGGCGGGGCTTCCCAGAAGCCCTCAGGTCTTCTAAGGTGTTTCCTGCGTCTTCGCGGAAGGGTTAGAAAACTGCTCAGAAGGCCGGGGGACTTCCGAGCCTTCTGAGAAGGCCCGCCCCCTCTCACTTCCCCCTCCCGGCTGGCCGCGCCTAGGAAGCCACTTACTCCTGGTCACGCCGGCCACCAGGGGACGCTCAAAGACATGCTAGTACTATATGTCCTCCTTGGAGGCGGGCGTCCGACACGAACATGTAGTATGCCTATCTCGTAGTGTAAGTATCTCGTTTCCCGAGCGGTGCGGCCAAGAAGCGCCATCCACGACGCACGTACTGTAAGATTTCTCGGTGCGCGCGTCGCCCCTGGGGGGGGGGCCACGCACACGCACAGTTGAGGTCGATCCGCAAGAAACCTCCACAAGACACTCAATCCTGAGACGTCTATTGATTTCTGGTGTGGGAACCTCACGCTTCCCACAGAAAGCCGTCGAAGCCCCAGAAGCCCAGGGCACCGTGGAGGCCAGCAGGGTGTGTTCCTTGGCATGGGCCTCCACTGCAGCACCACTACGGTGGGGTGACGCCGGCCACCATCGGAGGCCTATAGAGGTGGACATCAGCACCAACATCGGCGGCGTGCCTCCACCGAGGGACGAGGATCCCGACCTCGGTAATGGCGGTAATTGTTTCGGGCTTCCTGGGCAGACGAAGCATTGCCACCAGCACCAAACTCCAAGATATCTTCCCTCGGTGGCGGCACCCCCCTGATTACCAGCCTGGAACATATCCCTGTCCCTATGCCGGGCATCTCCTCATCACGATCCCAGTCTCAGGGATTCCCTTCTTTTTTGAGGGCGCATCCCTGAGACATTGCCATCGCTCTTTGGCGTGTCAATCTTGGGGATAGGGATGAGTTCGAGGCTGGTTACCTGTGCTGGTGCTGGCGCCCCTCCCCTCCCAACACCCGGGGCGCGGCCGCCACGCACAGGGCGGCCCTGCGCGCCGCCGTGCGCGCCGGCCCAGGAGGGGGGAAGCCTGGCGGCGCGCCGAGGGGGGGGGCAGGGGGCTCCTTGTGGGCCCCGGAAACGGCAGGGCCGTGTTTTCATCACCGTTTCCAGAAAAATGCCCCTTGAAGATGGAAACGGCCAAAAACCGGCGACCGGAAACAGCAGCAAAAACGGCTCCAAGATTGGAACCGGAGCCGGAACTGGTCAAACAACGGCGACGGAACCGGTAAAAAAACGGCGTCGGAACCGGCAAACAAACGGCAAAACGGAACCTATAAAAAACGGCCCTGTCGTGAGAGGCTTCCTAGAAGGGGGCTGCCACTCAGAAGGCGCCGGCCTTGCATGTGCAGGGAAGGCCCGCGCCTTCTGAGAGGCAGGGGTGCTCCTGAGAAGCTTTCCTCCCCCTCCCCCCTGCCCCCCTCGGGCGCGCCGCCAATGTTTGCTGAGAAGTTCTCCCCATCGTTCTTCCCTCGCCCTTGCTTGCTCCTCCATCGCTCCCCCTCCCTCCTTCCTCTTCCCTCAGAGGAACAACGGCACCGCTGCTTGTCCTGGGGAGGCCGCGTCGCAGCGGTTGGGTTCTTTTCGAGGTTCCCTGGGACAGAGGTCCGGGGAGCAGCGAGATCTGGTTGTTTCCCCTGTCCCAAGGGAGGAGGAGGAGGAGGAGGAGGAGGAGGAGGAGGAGGAGGAGGAGGAGGAGGGGAGGAGGAGGGGGAGGAGGAGGAGGAGGAGGGGGAGAGATGGAGGAGGAGGAGGAGGAGGAGGAGGAGGAGGAGGAGGAGGAGAGGAGGAGGAGGAGGAGGAGGAGGGGGAGGAGGAGGAGGGGGAGGAAGGAGGGAGGAGGAGGAGGAGGAGGAGGAGGAGGAGGAGGAGGAGGAGGAGGAGGAGGGGAGCGGCGAGATCTGTCTCCCCCCTGCCCCCCCTGCGGCGCGCGGCCGCGAGGAGCTGCGAGGGCGGGGCCGCCGCCGTGCGGGCGCCGCCGAAGGGCCGGCGAGCTCCCCGCGCCCCGCGCGGCAGGCGCGGGGCGCCCGCGTCGGCGGCAGCTCACGGGAGCCTCCCGGACCACCTCGTCGGCTGCGAATCGACGCTGCATCGAAGCTAAGTCGACGCTGTGGTCGACGCTGTGGTCGACGCTATGGTCAGCGCCGAAGAGCCGGCGAGCTCTCCGCGCCCCGCGCGGGGTAGGCGCGGGGGGCGCCCGCGTCGGCGGCAGCCTCACGGGAGCCTCCCGGACCATCTTGTCGGCTTTTGCGAATCGACGCTACATCGACGCTGTGGTCGACGCGGTGGTCGACGCTGTGGCCAGCGCGGAAGCAACGCCAATCTGCGCAAGCCGACGCTAAATCGGCTTTTGCGAATCGACGCGAAATCGAAGCTAAATCGACGCTGATCGACGCTGTGGTCGACGCTATGAAGCAACGCCAATCTGCGCAAGCCGACGCCGAATCGGCGCCATCTCATCGACTCCCGGGCGATACTCGACGCTAGTTGACGCCAAAGACGGAAGTACGAGGGTATACAAAGCTCCCCTGATTTGCTACCAGAGTCCTCGGCGGCTCCGACGGGCAGGTTGAACCATCGAACCGCGTCGTCGCCCTCCTGCAAAGCAGCCACTGGGGACACCACAAGGCACCGATACGGCTGCTCCCAGGACCTCGCCCGTGGTGCCTTCTGGCCAGAACTTCGAGGCAAATCCAGCGGTGGCGACGGGGGGCCTGCCAGGAGGCCCCAGGCGGGGGAAGCGAGAGAAAGGCAGCCGGAGAGGCACCTCTTCCTCCCTGGAGTTTGGGAGACCTGCGGACGGCTACTCCTCGTCTTCCTCCTCCTCCAAGGCTACAACCCTCGTCAAAATGAACCTCAAAAATGTCTGACGTGGTTGAACTGCTTGTCGGAAGATCTGGGGCCGAGTATCGATGAGTGCGGGGAGCGTGCATGCGCCGCCCCTCCAATGTCGGTCGACGTCAAACTTTCGAGTCAACTTCGGTCAGACTATCTTTGCTCTCGCCCCGACATTGAAGGGGCGGCGTGTCGACATTGAGAGGCGCGCCGAAATCGAAATGACGTGCCAGCAACTGTTGAGGTTAATTTTGACGAGGGTAGTAGGCGCTTCAGGTTGCGGGAAGAATCACGCAGCAAGTTTTGAGCTGCCCCCGCGCCACGGGGCCACCGCCAGCGCTGCGCGAGCACCGGCCCCAGCACCTGGCCGTGCGCTTCCACTGGTCTCCAGAGGCCCCCATGGACGGCCCAGACTCTGCGGTGTCCATGGGCGGTCGGCTTCAGCTAGCTGGGCAAGGACGCTGATCGGACACCCCCACCACCACCACTGGTCTTTCCGGTGGTACCACCGGCAGAAACGTTACTACTGTTAACGTTTGTGTTTTCGTTTGCAGGTTCTCGAAAAATGGCAAATATATTCAATCGTAAAAACAGGCTCACGACGACGACGACGACTCCACTCCCACCACCACCACTGGTGTTTCTGGTGGTACCACCGGCAGAAGCGTTACTATTGCTAACGTTTGTGCTTTCGCTGGCAAGTTCTCGGACAACAAAATCGTAAATATATTCAGTAATCAAGACTAGAAAACCGTAAGAATCGTAACACAAATCGTAAGCTCGTAAAAATCTCTATCAAAAAAAAAAAAAGCAAAATCGCAAAATCGTAAAAATCGTAAAAAAAAAAAAAAAAAAAAAAAAAAAAAAAAAAAAAAAAAAAAAAAAAAAAAAAAAAAAAAAAAAAAAAAAAAAACGTAAAAAAAAAAAAAACGTAAATTGCAAATCGATTCAGCAGTATAGACAGGCTCACGACGACGACGACTCCTCCGCCTCCCCCTCCTGCTCTGCTCCCCCTCCTCCTCCTCCTCCTCCTCCTCCTCCTCCCCCTCCTCCTCCTCCTCCTCTTCTTCTTCCTCCTCCTCCTCCTCTTCCTCCTCCTCCTCCTCCTCTTCCTCCCAGGCAGCGCGCAGCGGGCGGGGGGGGGCGGCGGCGGGCGGCCTTGCCCTCGCCGGCGCCGGCGCCCTCGGCCGCGGCGCCGCCGGCCTGGCGCGGCGCGCGGAGGGTGCCCCGCCCACGCCGCAGAGGCGGCGCCGCAGAGGCAGCGGCGTGGCCAACGGCGCCGACGCGAGAAGATCCCTGAGGGCGAGGCGGCCCTCCCCGCGCTGGAAGAGTCGATCTCTATATACATGTGTATGAAATACAAAGAAGGTGGGGGAGAGAGAGACATAGAGAGAGAGAGAGAGAGAGCGAGAGAGAGACAGAGAAAACAAAAAAAGCTCATGGCGGCGGGACCGAGACCAGCTGCAAGCATGAGATTTCGGACCTCTCCCCTGCCACCGCCCCCTTCCGTCCGACCCGACCGTCCTGGAGCACGTTCCTGACGGGATTTCGAAGCGGATCCAGCCGTCGGTGCAGGCCCGGACACACCCCAGGAGCGTCCGAAGACTTCGATCCTCAAATCTCGAAGCTCGGATTTCGAGCCCTGCGACCCCGCTAACTACGAGGGAACGCCGCCGCCGCATCTCACTCCGCCGCCGACTCCGATGCCCAAGCCGCTTCGCCGCCGCCGCCGCCGCCGACGCCAAAACCGCCAGCGCCGCCGCCACCGTCGACGGAACTGGCGACGACGAACGCCGATTTCGACGCAGGGTCCCGCCACCAGCTGCTCGGCACTCCCTAGGTGGGGCCCCGAGACAGGGGGCCCCACGGGCGAGGCGGCCCTAAACAGTGCAGCGTCAAGCTCGAAGCCCCCTCCTTCTGTTGCATCTCTGGGGGACCTCGTCTGTCCCATCGCGCCCAACCATCCGTGTCGTATACGTGTCGAAATCATGTCAAGCGCGTCCAATCCGTGTCGACTCCGTGGCCAACGGCGCCGACTCCAGAAGAGCCTGACGTCCTGCGTCGGCGACGTCGGCGATGCATCGGCGACGTCGACGTGGAGACCATTGGGCTCCACATTGAGCCGCATCGTCGACGCGGCGCGATCCGTCGACCCCATCTGGTCGGACCCAGTTCGAGGAGCCTGGGCTGCTACTCCTCGTCGTCGTCCTCCTCCAAATGGGCGGCGAGCGCAAGGGGGGAAGTGAGAAGGAGACGGCCCTCTCAGGAGGCGGCGGGGCTTCCCAAAAGCCCTCAGAGGCCTTCTGAGGTGCTTCCTTCGTCTCTGGGGAAGGGTCCGGAAACTGCTCAGAGGGCCGGGGGACTTCCGAGCCTTCTGAGAAGGCCGGCCCCCTCTCACTTCCCCCCAGGGCTCGCCGCCGAATCCTGTCGATGCGGAAAGACTCGCAACAGAGGGTGTTTGCAAATGGTCTGCCTCTGGGGGCGGCTTTCTAGCCCCAGGATGTCTTCCAGCAGCTTCGCATCATTGCCGACGGCGCTCTGGGGGTGCTCGGGTCGGCCCGAAAGGCCACCTTCCGACGACAGCCTGTCGACATCCTGTCGTCGCGAAAAAAGCGCGACGGAGAGTCTTTGCAAATCTTCCGCCTCAGGGGCTCTCACCGGGCCCCCGGACCGTCAAAACACCACTCAGGCGGAAGAGCCAGTCTCGGGGAATGGACCCAAACCTCTGGAGAGCCACGCTATGGAAAAGACGCGACGGAAGATGTCTGGGGACCACGATGCCTTGTCGGCGGCGCCGCTTGCCGGCCTACCCTGGCATCCTCGCGTGGTGATAGGACATGCAGGGTGGAAAGTTTTGGGCAACTTGCGGTCTCTGGGAGGCCCTCACTCGGCCCTGGCCAATAAACAAAGTCCTCAGGATGAAAAGCCAGTCCCCGAAGGCGTCCTGCAGCACCCAGACCCCCGACGTGACCCCCGACGTCATGATTTCTTTGCGACGTCGACCCCCAGAGGTCTCGATCCATTATCCAGAACTGTTGTTCATCCTGAGCCGTTTCTTGACGGTCCCGAGGCCGTAGGGCCCCCTGAAGCCGAAAATAGCGAGAAACCTCCCGTCGCGAGTTGTTCACGACCGAGAGGGTCTAGGTCGCTCGGGGCGGACGAGCCCTGATATCAAGCCGTCGCAACTTTTTCGCACTGGGCGGTTTCGCCAGGTCTTAGGCCCTGGTGTCCTCACGGGTCGGTGCGGCTCGATATTGAGATGACCGCGGCGTGTGGTGAGGGGATAGAGGGGGTGAGAGGTGGATGCTTAGCCAAACCCAGCCTGTAAGCGTGGTGTGGTTTGGGGGGTCAACGATCCGGGCTGAGCGGGCTCCGCCCACTTAGCGAGATGAGCGAGCCCCCCGAAACCACTTGGAGCACCTGTGGCTCACTTATAAGATAAGTTAGATGGCCCACTTGGCATCCGCTTCCGAGCCGGAAGGAAGGAAGGAAGGAAGGAAGGAAGGAAGGAAGGAAGGAAGGAAGGAAGGAGGGGGAGGAGGAGGAGGAGGAGGAGGAGGAGGAGGAGGAAGAGGAGGAGGAGGAGGAGGAGGAGCCCTTCGCAACCCAAGCGGTCATCTTAGTACGTGCCGCAGGCGGACGGGGTCGAGGCGCCCAGCTGTGGCTCCCTACAACGCTGCGCTCGTGCTCGCGACGTCGCACCTCAGGGAGAGCGGGGAGGAGCGAATCAACTCACGCAGCTGATTCATCCAGCGCCTTCCCGCGCTGGAAGAGTCGATCTCTATATACATGTGTATGAAATACAAAGAAGCTGGGGGAGAGAGAGAGAGAGAGAGAGCGAGAGAGAGACAGAGAAAACAAATTATTCACTGCGTGGAGCTCCCCATATGTGCATCTACTCGCATGGACCTGTCCGCCGTGAATGTCTAGGCGCAAGAGCTTTCGAATATTAACAGGCTTCAGTTGTGACGGTCTGGACATCAAACTAACTGCGAATGAATTGGAGTGTGAATGAGCCTCAGTAGTACGAGCGCGTCTCTGTGCATGAGCCTGGGGCCTCCTGGGGCCTCCTGAAACCTACTGGGGCTTCCTGGGGTCTCCAGGAGCCTCTTGGGACCTCCTGGGAACTCCTAGGAAGGTTTCGTGCCCCAGGAGAGGCGCAATCTATAGCAACAGACGTACATAAAACATTGCGGATTAGAGCCACAGGAGAAGGGCAATCTATAGGAACACGCGTAAAACACCAAGGACTCGTGCCCAGGAGAGGCCCAATACATAGGAACATGAGTAAAACATTTAGGATTGTGTACACAGGAGAAGGACCATCTATAGAAACATACGTAGAACATCAAAGAATCGTGCTCCAGGTGAGGCCCAATCGATAGGAGCATACGTAAAAAACATGGGATTGGAGCCACTCCTGTTGCCTTCTGAGGCCTCCTGCTCCTGGGGCCTCTCGGGGCCTCCTGTTGCCTTCCGAGGCCTCTTGGCGCTTCCTGTTGTCTCCTGGGGTCTCCTGTGGTTTCCTGGAGCCTTCTGGAGCTTCCTGGGGGCCTCTGGAGCCTCTTGGGGACATCTGTGGCCTCTTGAGTCTTTCTGTGGGCTCCTGGGGCCTTCCTGTGCCTCCTGGGGACCTTTCATGTGGTTTTCCTGGAGCCTCCTGGAGCCTGTTGGAGCTCCTGTGGCATCGCATACTGAGAAGAATCTGCGCCCACGGAGCCTGGCACCAAAAACTAGCAAACGATCGAGACATCCCTCAACCATACTGGCCCACCGGGGGGTGAAAATGAGCGCCTCGCTCGAGACATCTCTCCAAAAATCTGTCCCGGAAAGCGAAGGATGTTGGGACAGGAAACAGGCAAACCGTGAGAAATTCCACAAAATGGCCCCGCGAACGAGCCCTGCAACCACCCTGGCGGCTTTTTCTTGGGCTTAGGGGTGCTGAAATGAAGGCGCCTCGCTCGAGACATCCTCCAAATCTGCTCCGAAAGCGAAGGATGATGGGCACAGAAACAGGCAAACCGCCTGAGACATCCCCACAAAATGGCCGCGAACGAGCCCGTGCAACCACCCCTGGCGGCTCCCCTTAGGGGTGCTGAAATGAGCGCCTCGCTCGAGACATCCTCCAAATCTGATCCGAAAGCGAAGGATGTTGGGCACAGAAACAAGCAAACCGCCTGAGACATCCCCACAAAATGGCCGCGAACGAGCCCGTGCAACCACCCCTGGCGGCTCCCCTTAGGGGTGCTGAGTATGAGTAAGTCTGTGTATGAGACAGATGAAGTATGTGTTTACGTTCTGGGACGGTGTTGACGGAAGTTTTTCTGTGTTTGCTCTGAGTAAGTCGTATATGAGTATGGTCTGAGTGTGAGTAATAGTGTTGAGTATGAGTAGGTCTGAGTATGAGTAAGTCTGAGTATGAGTAAGTCTGTGTATGAGCAAGTCTGAGTATGTCCGACAGGAGGGGAGGAGAAAAGAGGAGGAGGAAGGAGGAGGAGGAGGAGGAGGAGGAGTAGGAGGCGTCCAAGTAATAACAAGAACCCCATCTTAGGATATGGGGAAAAAAGCTCATGGCGGCGGGACCGAGACCAGCTGCCAGCATGAGATTTCGGACCTCTCCCCTGCCACCGCCCCCTTCCGTCCTGCCCGACCGTCCTGGAGCACGTTCCTGACGGGATTTCGAAGCGGATCCAGCCGTCGGTGCAGGCCCGGACACACCCCAGGAGCGTCCGAAGACTTCGATCCTCAAATCTCGAAGCTCGGACTTCGAGCCCAGCGACCCCGCTAACTACGAGGGAACGCCGCCGCCGCATCTCACTCCGCCGCCGACTCCGATGCCCAAGCCGCCGCCGCCGCCGCCGCCGCCGCCGCCGCCGCCGACGCCAAAACCGCCAGCGCCGCCGCCACCGTCGACGGAACTGGCGACGACGAACGCCGATTTCGACGCAGGGTCCCGCCACCAGCTGCTCGGCACTCCCTAGGTGGGGCCCAGAGACAGGGGGCCCCAAGGGCGAGGCGGCCCTAAACAGTGCAGCGTCAAGCTCGAAGCCCCCTCCGTATGTTGCATCTCTGGGGGACCTCGTCTGTCCCATCGCGCCCAACCATCCGTGTCGTATACTTGTCGAACCCATGTCAAACGCGTCCAATCCGTGTCGACTCCGTGTCGAATCTACGTCGAGACCGCATCGAGTCCGCGCCGGGCACGGGAACGGACAATTGTTTAAAGACGGACGAGGTCCCCCGAAGATGCCCCGTATAACTCACCTATCCTCCCATCCCCGGGCCGGCCACGCGCAAGAGTGACCTTCGGCGGGAGCCAGGGGGGGGGAGGAATCGAGCGCGAGGGGGTAGCCCCAGGCGCCTCGAGCCGATGCTGCCACGCCGCATTTCGCGATCGGGGGGGAGGGGGGGGATCCCGTGGGCCCGCACCAGAACGGCCACTCCAGCGACGGGCCACTCTTACGAGTAGCCGACCAAGAATTTTACTCGTCAATGTCTCACCGTAGGTCTAGACCCCTTCCCCAGGACCGGCTTTGCATCCAGAGTCAGTCGCTTCTCGACTGTACTGGTGCCCATGGAAGGCCTGCTGAAGGCAGGAACTGTACAAAAATCATCTGCCGCGATTTTGTCACAGCGAGAGGATGTCAGGGTTATGTTTGGCCGAGTCGTCGCTCGGATCTCCGGCCGCCGTTCGGAACAACCCGAGCACCCCAGGAACGCCCTCGGCGAGGCGAAGCTGCTGGAAGGCACCCCGAGGCCGGAAAGCCGCAGAGAACCTGTGAAAACCAGGATGCCCCCCACCTGCGGGCCCCGCACCTCAGGGCCCCACCTTGAGACCCTCGGCCTGCGACGAGGGGCCCCGCGACGCAGCGAGCTCCACGAGCACTCCGGCGGCCCATTGGCTGCTGGCGGCGAGGTCCGCCAGCTGGCGCTGCTGCGCCTCCCGCGGGGCGCAGCGCCGCCGCCGCCGCCGACGCCGCCCGCGCCGTCAGCACGTCGCCCGCACCGCCGACGCGCCGCGACTCCACCGCCGACCCTCAGATCGTGACCCCAAAAAACCCGACGGCACCTTAACTGGTTGCTATTTTCGGCCTCAGGGGGCCCTCGCCGGGCCCCAGAGGAGGAGGAGGAGGGGGAGCGGGAGGAGGAGGAGGAGGAGGAGGAGGAGGTGGAGGAGGAGGAGGAGGAGGAGGAGGAGGAGAGGAGGAGGAAGCTGGAGGATGGTCGTGGAAGGGGTCCAAACTTTTTTGGTTCCACGCCGCCTTAGCCGAGAAGGAAAGAGTCTTGGTTCTGGCTCCCCCTCCCCTTCCCCTGGGGGGGAAGGGGAGGGGGTGGGAGGGGGATGAGGGAGGGAGAGGAGGAGGCGGGAGAGGGGGGTGGGAGAGAGAAGGAAGGAGGGGAGGAGGAGGGGGAGGGGACTACTAGGCAGAGGTTGGGGCTGAGGCAGGGGGAGGCAGAGGAGAAGGAGCAGGGCAGAGGAAACAGAGGATTCCCCAGAAGAGGACAGAGCAGAGTGTAGACAGCAGAGGGTGCAGAGCCTATCAGAGCAGAGGGGGCAGAGTGGGCTCAAGATAGGAGGGAGGCGAGGAGGCCGAGAGAGAAGAAGAGAGAGAGGAGGACGAGAGGATTTGCCCGCCGAGCCGGATAGGGGAGGAGGAAAACGAGGGCGAGGAGGGGAGACCAGAGCAGGCCCAAGATGAAACAACGATACTGCAGCACACCCTCCTGCTACAAATCCCCTCCTGAGTCGTCCCTGTAAATATTTCGTTCCGCTGCGGGAAGCGTCCCCCCCCCCGTGAAGGACGACCGCCCTGGGAACTTCCGAGGCTTCTGAGAAGACCTCCTCCTTCTCGCTTTCCCGCCCTCGCTCGCCGCCGACTGTCATCCAAGCGAAGCCCAACTTTGCGAAGCATCCACCATCCGTGATGGGACTGTTTTCCACCACCACCACCACCACCACAAGTTGGAGGGGGAGGGGCCCTCCTCCTCCTCCTCCTCCTCCTCCTCCTCCTCCTCCTCCTCCTCCTCCTCCTCCTCCTCCTCCCTCCTCCACCTCCTCCACCTCCCTCACCCCCTCCAACTTATGGCAGTGGTGGAAGACGGGCCCATCATTCCGCCCTCCCCTGCCAGGCCTCGGGGACACGGGGCGAGGAGGAGAGCACGAAAGGAGAAGCACCCGGCGAGCGACCCCGTGCCAAAGAGGATTCTGCCCCTCCGCCCGTGCAGTCGCCACACGCACTCGAGCTATGGCCACTGAGGTCTAGAGCAATGCGCACGAACTCCCCCTACGAACTCCCCCTGCTAACTCCCTACTCCCTCCACGAACTCCCTTCACCAACTCCCCTTCCTAACTCCCCCATACTACCTCCCCCTTCCTGGCTCCCCCCCACGAACTCCCCCTACTGACTCGAGAACGGAGACGCGCCCAGGGACGATGGAAGACCGCTCGGCCCCCCCTCTCTCTGATAATGCGAGATCCTCGGTTTCAAAGAGACCTGCCCTGAACCCGTGTGACGGATGCACAATTCAGAACTCCGGGACAACTCACTTGAGGACGTCCCAAGCGACAACCCGATGTTGAAAGCGAATCGCCCAGCATCCATGTAACAATTGGCTGTTTTCTGTTTTTCGCGGACGGACAGCGGAACCCCATGTTGCAAAGGTACCACCCTTCATCCGTGTACTGCTGGTTATGTTGAAGACTTGTTTGGAAGGTACCGTCCGCGTAATTTCTGGAATGCTCAAGCTCCAGAGGCGTTAGCGGAAAGAAATCTCAAATCGAAACGCCTGGCCCGCCCTAGCGACACGAATGGTTGCGCGACAGGGAGGACAGGAGGACACGTTGTTGGTAAAGGGGGCGGGGGACGAGGAGGGGGGTGGATGAGGAGGATATGGACGTGGCCGAGGGCGACGCGGCCGCCGCCAGCGCCGCCGCCGATGCCGCCGAGGCCAATGCATTTGCCGCGGCAGCCAACCGGAGGAGGACCATTTCAGACAACGGCGGACCTCCGCCCGGTCCAATTCCGTCCAAACTCGGTCCCAAGACCCCTCACGGGGGCCACCCCGATCCGATGCGTGGCGCACAATGCCTCCACAAGACCTCGAGAGGTCGCAACCAACGCCAGAGTGGGCCGCCGTTGTCTCGGCTGGCCCACCTCCGAGTGTTTTCGGGCGAGAACGTGGGCCTCAAGCGGCTGTTCGGGACGATCCTGGCATTCCCGGGACGCCTGTGACGAGGTGCAGCTGACGGGAACCATCCCGTGTCCCGTGTCCCCGGAGACCTTCGAAAACCATGGTCAGCAAATGTCAGCCACAGTGGACCACAAACAGTGTGTTCTAGCTTACGATGTGGTGCAACCCGCGTGGTGCAGTCTAGGTGGTGCAATTGACTACCCTGCACCGCGCGGCACCACCCCCCCTGTCTTGCAATCGTCCCAGCCACCCAACCGCAACTTGGTTTGCACAGCACTTGCGGCGGCGATTGCGATGACAGTTCGGCGTTGGCCGACGCATCGATGCGGGCACGCCCGCGCGCACAGGCTCGCGCACAGAGCGGCCAGCTAGTCCGGCGCGACCGACGCGGCCGCGGTGGCGCTGATCGCTGAGCACTTCACAGAGCGTCACTTATGCCGAGACAACGCGTGGGCACTTCAATGCGAAGCGGTGCTTTAGGCGGGCGCGGTATCGTGGCGACGTCGACAACGGTAGACAGGACGAGAATTGTAGCGATGTTGATGACGATGGTGACAACGACGACGGCAAGGCCAATGACGGCGCCGATGCTGATCACGCCGATGACGGTTATGGTGTCCTTGCGTCGGCGACGATGGTTTGTGAAGGGTTTGGACATGCGCGCGCGGCTGACGCGCGCGGGGGGCCCGTATGGTACTTTTTGACTATGCGCGCCCAACACGCGCGCAGAGGCGTTGGAATGATTCCGACATGCGCGCGCGCGAGAGGCCTGGCTGGTCGCATTTGATGAGGATGTTGAAGCCCATGGATTTCCTTGAGAATTCGTGAATGCGCGTGCGCATTTTTTTTTGGGGGGGGAATGCATGAAGCGCAACCATTGTCTTTTGCATGTTCCCGGGGCATTCGATGTTGAAACCCATAAGAAACCCAAGGTATTTGAAAGGTCTCGTTCGTCCCCTATTGCACGAGGCTCTTGGAAATTGACCTCTTTTGATAAATGAATGTGCGCGCATACGATTTGCTGCAAGGGATGACGGGGCCAATTGATAACGGCCTGGCTGGTATGATCTCGAATTGAAAACAAGCGAAGCAACTTAGTGTGTACTTTGCAAGACAGCAAACGAATCCGCCAGCCCCCTTGTGGGGCCACCAGGCTGTAGGGCTAGGTTGCTGCTCCCTGCACCAGTTGCAGTTTCAAGTCTCCAATGGTACAGTTCTGCTTTCTGCTTCCGACTGTACATTTTTGACATCCGCGCGAGGGGGAGCCCCAAATCACTAATTTACCATCCTCGGATCGCGTGCTCTGCATTCCCAGGGGGGGGCGCAGGACACGCAAAAGTACTTGAGACTCGCGCCCCCGAAGCCATAACACGTTGTAAATTACGCAATGTTCGCGTCCCGAGGCCATAAACCATTGCAAAATATACACTTCTTGCGCTCCCGAGACAATACCCCCCCGTGCTTTACCCAAAGCTCGCGTCCCAGAAGTCTTCCACCTTGGCAAATTACGCCGTCTTTGCGCTGCCGAGGCCGAAAGTGCTCCAAGGCGCCCAAAGATGATTCCAAGAAAGCCCAAGAGGGGCCCAAGAGGCCCCAAGAGCGCTCGAAGAGGCCTCCCAAGAGAGCCCCAAGAAGTCAAAATGAACGATTTACGCAAGTGCTTGAAGGATTTTGGCCGTCTCGCATATCCAGCTTTCCGACGCTCCAAGACGGCTCAAGAAGGTCCCAAGACCGCCCCAAGACAACCCAAGACGCGTCCAAGAGGGCCCCAAGACGGCCCAAGAAGGCCCCCAAGATTGCCCACCCACTGCGGGTTCGGGTAAGTCTGGGGGAGGGTGGTATACCCTCATTCCTTAGGAGACTCGATGTGGCGACGGGCGACGATGGGGCGACGACGCTGGCCATCAGGCCGCGGAACGGACAGTCGGGCCCCGACGAGTGGCGGCGACGGCGGCCACGAGGCGGCGGGATCCACAGTCAGGCCCAGACGAGGGGCGGCGACGAGGCGGCCACGAGGCAGCGGCGGCCAGAGGGCGGCGGAAGCGACAGGCAGGCCCAGGCGGCCACGAGGCGGCCACGAGGCGGCCACGGGGCGGCGGAGCCGACAGGCAGGCCCAGCTCCTGGAACACAAGGCAGGGACCCGAAGTGCAGGCACTGCTTGGGGAACGTTCGAAACAAAAAATGCTGGGGCAGCCGTCGCCGCCGGCGGTGGCACTGGCGGCGGAGGCGGCGGGCAGCGCCAGCGGCGGCTCCCGCCGTTGCTGTCGCCGCCGCCGCCGCGGTGCCTCCAGCTGCGGCAAGACCCGCTCCTGCAGGAGCATCTCGCAGGCGGCGCTGGACTGCTCCAACTGCGGCAAGAACCGCTCCTGCGGACGGTCGTGTCCGTGTGCGCCGTCTTCGTCGTCGTCGCCGTCGCCGCCTACAGTAGGCGCAGCAGATCAGAACTTGTACGGCCAGAAATCGCAGGGCACGCTCGACGGCTACCTTTGAGCTGACTGGCACGCTCAAGTGAGCGTGTGGGGCCCAGGGGCCATCGGGGGATTAGACATCTCCGTGGGATTTCTGCTGGCAGCCCCGGTTGTTATTTGATATGCCTTCTTCAGTAGAAGGAGAAGAAGAGTCATATGAAAAACATGAACTTCCAGAGTTCCGACCACTTCTGTTGATGTCTTCTTCCGACGAGTATAAGTACTATGAATTGTTCGCCCGTGCCCGTCAGTTTCCAGCCGGGGATGCTTTTCAGGAGCTGCTCATCGACGAGACCGCTGCTGTGGGATGGGACGCCACGAAAAAAAAAACACATGGTACAAACAATCGACTGGAGCGCTGGAACCAATTCTTCTGCTGAACGTTTCGAGCTGGATCGATCCTTGTAGGCCCCTGGGGCCGCCGAATCATGTCAAACTCGCCTGTCGTGAAAAAATGCGCTGCCAGTAGCTCAGGGCTCGCCACGAACGTGGGTGTCTGAATCGTCCCGAGCGACATCGGCGAGCCCAGCAGCACTATAGCCAACGGCTGGACAAAGGCTCGGCGTCGGGGGTCGCGCGACCACACGGCAGCCCCGCTTCTGGGCTGGGTGCTCGACCCAACAGGTGATCGAGCGGGAGCAGAGGGCCTCCTCCTCCTCCTTCGCCTCCTCCGCCTGCTCCTGCTCCTGCTACTGCTCCTGCTCCTGCTCCTCCTCCTACTCCTCCTCCACCTCCTCCTCCTCCTCCTGCTTGAATCCTGAGCCCTGGCACTTATCCATCTTTGCGACAACTGTCCACTGGAACCAGGCGGGTCGGGCGAAAATCCACACAATAATGTACGGTGTGTGTGCGTGTGTGTGTGTGTGTGTGTAGGTGTGTAGGTGTGTAGGTGTGTAGGTGTGTAGGTGTGTAGGTGTGTAGGTGTGTAGGTGTGTGCGTGTGTGCGTGTGTGCGTGTGTGCGTGTGTGCGTGTGTGCGTGTGTGCGTGTGTGCGTGTGTGCGTGTGTGCGTGTGTGCGTGTGTGCGTGTGCGTGTGGTGCGTGTGCGTGCGCGTGCGCGTGCGCGTGCGCGTGCGCGTGATGTGCGTGAGTGCGTGATGTGCGTGTGTATGCGTGTGTGCGTTGTGTGCGTCCTTGTGTGCGAATATTCTTTGTGTGCGTGTGTGCGTGTAGTGTGTGTCGTGATCGTTGTGTGCGTGTGTGCGATGTGTGCGTGGTGAGCGTTGTGCGTCGTGTGCGCGTTTGTGCGCCGTGTGCGCGTAGTGAGTGTGCGTGTGGTGTCGCGTGTGCGTGGTGCGTGTGCGAGTGCGTGTGCGTGTGCGTGTGCGTGTGCGTGTGCGTTGTGCGTATGTGCGTGTGCGTGTGCGTGTGCGTGTAGTGCGTGTGCGTGTGCGTGTGCGTGTGCGTGTGCGGGTGTGCGTGTGCGTAGTGGTGTGGAACGTGTTGCGTCTGATGTGCGTTGGTAGCGTGTGCGTGTGCGTGTGCAGTGTGCGTGTGGTGTTGCGTGTGTCGTTGTGCGTGTGCGTGTGCGTCGAGGCGTGTGCGATGTGCGTGTGCGTGTGCGTGTGCGTGTGCGTGTGCGTGTGCGTGTGCGTGTGCGTGTGTGTGTGTGTGTGTGTGTGTGTGTGTGTGTGTGTGCGCGTGCCTATCCTGGGAGAACTTTCTCGGTGCCAAGGTGCAGGGCGACGTTCCACCAAGGCCCCAGCGACAAGGCGACATGTCTCTTACTCCTCTGCCTGCTCCTGCTACCCCTCCTCCTCCTCCTCCTCCTCCTCCTCCTCCTCCTCCTCCTCCTCCTCGGGGCGAGGACGGTCGGGTGCTTCGGAGAGGCCGCGTGAGGTCTTGGAGGGCCCGGAGTGCTCGCTTGTTCTCCCTGGCGGGAGCGCCTCGTTGGGCGCCTTCTCCGGGAACGCCAGGTTTCTGTCCCAGGGCGGCCCTCCCGGGATCTCTTCGACGCGACCTTCTCACGGCGTCGATCCCCTGCAGAGGCCTCGACCCTCTCCCAGGGGCTGGACCTCTCGTCCCGAGTTGTCTCTCTTGACTGCCACGGGGCCGCTCAGGCTGAAAAAACAGTCACGGGGAAGGGACTCAGACCTCTGGGCAGCCACGCCGTGAAGACACCACGGCGTCGGCGGACCGGGCCCTCCTGCTCCATCCTTCCTGCACCTCTTCCCTCCTTCCCGCCCCCCCCGTCGGGGAGGAGAAACGAGAGGACGAGAGGTCGGGAGAGGAGCAGCGGAGGAGGAGGAGGAGGAGGAGGAAAAGGAGGAGGAGGAGGAGGAGGAGGAGGAGGAGGAGGAGTAGGAGAAGGGCTCGGGGAGGACGGCGCCCCAGGCGGCCTGGTCCCAAAAATTCGTGCGCCGAGGAGGAAAAGGAGGAGGAGGAGGAGGAGGAGGAAAAGGAGAAGGAAGAGGAGGAGGAGGAGGAGGAGGAGGAGGAGGAGGAGGAGGAGGAGGAGGAGGAGGAGGAGGAGAAGGGCTCGGGGAGGACGGCGCCCCAGGCGGCCTGGTCCCAAAAAATCGGGCGCCGGGCAAGGCCCTCGGGGCGAGGACGGTCGGGTGCTTCGGAGAGGCCGCGTGAGGTCTTGGAGGGCCCGGAGTGCTCGCTTGTTCTCCCTGGCGGGAGCGCCTCGTTGGGCGCCTTCTCCGGGAACGCCAGGTTTCTGTCCCAGGGCGGCCCTCCCGGGATCCCTTCGACGCGACCTTCTCACGGCGTCGATCCCCTGCAGAGGCCTCGACCCTCTCCCAGGGGCTGGACCTCTCGTCCCGAGTTGTCTCTCTTGGCTGCCACGGGGCCGGGAGGCGGCCTCCAGATGCCGAGGGCATCAAAACCGCAGCCGCCACGAGCTTTTCTCGTTGCCTGGATCTGAGAAGAGCCTAAGATCTGAGATCCGACGCCACGGACAAATGCAACATCGTGCACAAAGCAAAACAGAACAAAGTCGGAGCCCTGGACCCTCTCTTCCTCTGAGGCCAGATCGGTCCATGAGAGCCCCGAGGGCACGGAGCGAGGCGAAACGCCATCTGTGAAACAGATGCGCCGCCAGGATCTCGAGGGGGCTCGAGAGGCCCGAGCTCCGAGAGGGACGCCGAGAGAGCTCCAAGACTGAGTCGCACGTGGCCCCCTGGCCCCATCTCCCGAACCGAATAGCAGCCATCCGACCCGACGCGAGGTCCACTCCCACAGAAAGGAGGAGGAGGAGGAGGAGGAGGAGGAGGAGGAGGGGGAGGATGAGGAGGAGGAGGAGGAGAAGAGGAGGAGGAGAAGGTGGAGGTGGAGGAGGAGGAGGAAGAGGAGGAGGAGGGGGAAGAGGAGGAGGAGGGGGACGTCGGACTTCAAGTGGACGAGGCCACCGACTCTCGGGGCGGACGAGCCGCGCAGGCTTCAGAGCCAGAGCCTGCAAGCAGCCGCTCCTTCCAGTCAAGGTCGGCGTCTTTCCTGGCCTCCATTTGGACCTCCGACACGAGGGCGGTGATGCCCTCCTGCTCCGCGGCCGTCATGGCCTGGAGCTCGACATCAAGAGGCGCAGGAGGTTGGCATAGACGACGGAAGGGAGAGAGAGAGAGAGAGAGAGAGAGATAGAGGGAGGGAGGGGATGGATGGAGGACGGGCAAGAGCGCCCCAATAGAGCTCCAAGAGGGGTCCAGGAGGCGATGTTTTGGGTTCCTGAGGGGGGAGACTCATTGGAGCTCTCTCTTTTTTGACCGATGTCATCCAAGATGGCCCGCAAAGCGCCCCTGAAGCTCCCAATAGCGCCCCAAGAGGGCTCCAAGCGGCGCCCAGACGGCCCCAAGAGGCCTCCAAGAGGCTCCCAAGAGACCCCATACGAGGCCTCAACAGGATCCCCTTGGTACCCTAGGTACCCAACTCTCCCTCCGTCTCCTCCTTCTCCTCCTTCTCGTCCTCGCCCTGCTCCACCTCCTCCTCCTCCTCGTCTTCATCCTCCAGCCCCTCCTCTTCCTCCTCGGACGACGACGATTCCTCCTCCATCCTCCCCCTCTTGGGGTATACGACGGCTTCCCTCGCCCTGTGCTGTTCTGCATGCAACCCCACTTCCCTGATCACCTCAACTCCCCCCTCCAAGATCCCGTATCATAGGTCCTTCCCTCCTGGCCTTCTCCCCCTGGCCATGCCGCGCTTGCTTCTCTCCTGCCCCCCCCCGCCCCCCGCCCCCGCCCCCGCCTCACTTGTTAAACCCTCTTCAGGTTGGCTCTCTTCGTTCCCCCCGGCCCTATGCCCGCCCGCCGCCCACTCGCCCCCCCCCCCCCCCCCCCCACGCCGCACCCCGCCTGGAGGTCGTCGCCATCTGCGAAGCGGGCGCGAGAACCTGCGCGGGACTGTACGAGATGCCGAGCAGGCGCCTCGGCGCGCAGCCCGGCTTCGCTCCCTGAATTTCGGTTACCCTGGCGCGCTGCGCATTGACCGGACAGACTTCAGCGTGGATTGTCCTGGCGCGAAGCGTCAACCATTTGGATCGGATTGGCCGCGCTGGGGGATGCACGGCGGCGCCACTGCGAGCACCAGGATGCATCGAACATCGACGGAACACCAGAATCGGCTCGGATCGAGCCGACCTGAGCTGATATCGACCCCGATAGATTGGATCGAAATGGACCCTGGAAGAGGCATTCGGCTTTCTGACCCTGGCTTGGGTCTCCATCTCCGGCGGCCGCTCGGGACGACCCGGGCAACCCCAGAACGCTCTCGGCCAGACGCAGCTGCTGGAGAGCACCCCGAGGCTGGAAAACTGCCGAACACCAACGACAACGTCAGAAAAACACGTACCTGGGGAAACCAACAGGTAACTACCGATACCGCTGCTCCCCAGACCCCTCCCAGGATGCGTGCTGACTA